GTATGTATCTAAATAAATTTATCTCAGATATATAATTACACACCGCTTATTTAAATACATATAGATATATTGTTCCATACGTCCGATTTTGACCGATAAGTGACAAGATATCTTTTACTCTATGATACATGAATGTTACGAGACTATATTCTTTTACGCGATCCATTGAAGCAGTTGCGAGCATCAGAGCATTCGAATCTCGATAATAACAGAATCGATCAAGTTTAGGGTTTTACCTGATAGACGTAAGGTGTGACGCAGGGTACGTAGAATTCTCTACTCATAATAGACGAATCGCCTGCGGGCGGCGATGAAGTCCAGCTGACGGATGATCGTCCTTCGGCAAGTGTCAAAACGTCGGTGGCGCCATCTTGGTCTCGCCCGGATCGGAGCGAGTCGTCGAACTGTCACGAGCAGGCAGGATCACCGAATCCTAGTTGCGGTCGCCGCGCAGGACATCCCTCGTTTGCTTTTTCGGGGTTCATGCACGTGTCGCGGCCGGATACACGTACTCGCCGTGTTACCCGTCACGTCGCGTCGCGTTGCGTCACGTTACGTCGCGTCACGTCGCGACGTTTAGGTCGTTCGCGTCAGCGTCGTCGTTGGCGGGCGTGCGACAACGACGACGACAAAGACATCGACCGTCGACGGGATTCCTTGCCTCGACGCGCGCGACTCACCAAAGCACACTCGGGATACACACTGCATAAGTAATCACCTTAACGACGTCGCCGGGTTCGTCGTCCCGACTCGATCATGGCGCACTTCTCAGCTCGACTGTTCCCGCAGGAGAAGGTATAACCTAATCGCTCGTGCTGCGGACGACGGCGTTTTCAATGGCGGACACACGGCTGTTTGTGAAAACGTGGGTGGCAGGACGATAAACACTTACTCGGCTCGCCGATCACTACGCCATTTTCATTTGCTGCGTTCGCTGACAAGTGCCGACTGGCTGGTCGCGGATCACGAGAGCCGATTGAATCCGACGCGATCCGATGGTAGCCGAAACGTGGCGATTTACCGCGGTGGCGCCACCAACTTCACGTCGGTCGACGTCGGTTACGACTCCGGTATTCAGATTTTCACTCTGTCGATAAGACGAATGCTATCGTGTAAACAAGGAAGGAAAACAATGGATAGCTTTCCATTTAATGATACAAAAGATAACACGAATGTCTTTTTATCTCTCTTGGGATTCCAGAAATAGCGAAGACAGAACGATGCTCATGTCGACTTGTGCTATCGAGTGAAAAACATTCAATGTGTGTTTCTATGGATGTCACACACAAAACGATAAACAAATAACATAGCTTTCGTTTAATCGATATCAGTTTCACTGTCGTTTCGTGAATAAATTTTCGAAGAAAATTATTTCGCATGTGGTAAATTAAATTAATTTATTTTGATTTAGGAAGCATTTTTGACCATCTCAAGGTCTTTACTTTTCTCTATTACGTTGAGGAACGACGTAAGGATCTCGAAAAAGATAATAATCTAGTAATGATAAAAAAATAACATACTTTTCGTTTAATCAATACTATCAGTTTCATTGTCGTTTAATCGATACTGACAGTTACACTGTCGTTTCATAAATATAGATAAATTTTCAAAGAAAATTTTTTTATTTCCTACATGATAAATTTAATAAATTCATTTTAATTCAAAAAAACAATTTCGAACCGTCTCAAGGTCTTTACTTTTCTCTGTTACGTTAATGCTATAAGGATCTCGAAAAAGATAATAAAAGATAATAATCTGGTAACACAAGATCCAGCAAGTAAAACAAATGGATCAAGGTTTTAAAATGCAAATCGAACTTTTCCTCGGCAATTTTTACTACATGTAATCTTACATTGTTTTGCATCGTATTATTTCAGTTTGAGTTAATAATATTACTTCCTTTTACAAATATTCGAAAGTAAACGTTGCTATTTAGATTACTGAAATGAGTGAAATTTATTTAACGAGAAAAACAATGTCTATGTTTTAGCAGACAAAGTAATACTGTAATGATAACTAAATAAAATAAAATTGTAACTATTATAAATTCCTTTACTTGCCTTTAGCTCGTCAGTGAATGTAAATATATAAATAACTATATAACTTATCATATTAAATAATCTTACAATTGCAAAGCTGCTTTTTCTGTTCAACACAGCCAATGGTTATATGTTCGGTGAACAAAGCAACTCAATGAACGGCTCAGTGATTCTTTAATATAATTTATTCTTGCTTTTAATTTTTTATCGAATTTAACTCTTACAAAATTATATAAAAAGACAGTAATTAATTACTTATTTTAAGTATAAAAGGCACTGCATGTTGCCAGTATTTTTGATATTCTAAATAAGTAATTATTATTTTTTAATAATAAATTGATTATTACATTTCTGTGTAAAGGAAGTGTAGAATTTATTTATAATATAGAATTACTGAACGCTCACTTTGCTAAACGTAGTCGATATTAATATTAAAGCGATACGTAATTTTTTCGAATCGAGACATTGAAATTTAATCAAATCAGCAAATAAGTGTCTACATGCAAGCGACAACCCAATTGGAACCCGCAACGTTTTCGTGAGGATTTGTACGAGTTTTCGCACGGATTTTCACGCAGCAGGTAGGCTTGCCACAAGGGATGCACGTCGTGGCAACACGCGAGCGCGGTGGTTGTTTGGACGAGGGATGTTGTCGCTTCCTTTCGGATTTGATGACGATATTACGCGGCATCAAGATCTCGTTCCAGGGAACCTCGACATCGTCGGTCGCGCAGATCTGCTCCCGCGATGGTCGTATCTCCATCGGCATCTCCAGCGCCAGGTCGGCCCAGGGTATCTCCACCGATGAGTCGCAGAGCTCCGGCTGTGCTTCCTCCAACGTGCTTCGCAGAGTTTCCGTGATAAGCAAGTCGTGCCACGGCAACGTCATGGCTCCAGTGGACTCTCGCTTCTCGATGATCCTCGTCTCGTCCGTCTCCTGATCGTCCCGATCGTCCTCGACAGCCGTCGCGTCAGGACGAATCCTTATCGCCGACCGCAGGGCGATGTCTCTCCAGGGTAGCTCTATCTTGGAGTCGCACAGCACAGACTTGTCCGAGAACTCATGGTGGAGCAATTGCATGTAGGGCTCGTGCCAGATCTCTTCCTCCGGATTGTATACGAAGACCTGCCTCTTCTTCTTGCAACGATCTCTCGGTTTTTTCTTCTGATGCGCGTATATTTTCTGGTGGCACGCGCACGATTGTTGGAGTTTGCTGCGTTTTGCCATGATCGATATGGCTGCCATGACCGACATGGTTGCGACAAGCTCTCGACGCGGTCGGCTCTTGTATTTGTTGATTTATTCCTTTTTACTTTTCCAACCCCATTTTTTGATAATGAAGAGAACGATCGACGTGAACGTGGACGCGAGCAGCTTCGATTAATTGTTTGTTTATTAACTGTCTAGGTTTTTTTGTAGTTTCTTTTCATAGTGGACTTGTATTGTGTTCGAAGATAAAAAAATTGCATTATATGCGTTTTATTAAATTATTCTACTTTTATCGTTTAATTTTATCATTTATTTTGTATTTTTAAATTTTATATTCATCCTTCAGCGGTAATTTTTTTTATTATGAATTTTTTTAAATGAATTTAAATCTAAAAAATAAATGAAATACAACACAAATGAATAAAGAAAGTATATTCGATTAAAGCGAATCTCGATTATTAATGAATTTCTACAATTTCCAGTTCAAGCAACTGCCGATTATTTATGAAATTCAAAATTTTAGACTAAGGCTGTAGTATATAATTAATTTTGCAAGTTAAATTGATGAGCAATTTAATATTATTGATACTAATTTGCATCTTTAAAACGCTGCGAAGAATTTAAAATGCAATTCAGTTTCTACGATAAAAACTCATTAAGTCTTTTATGAATATGTAGGAATTTTTTTTCAGCATTCTATATACAGTCCGGAACAATATAAAAATCTGCATTGAAATTCTAGGTTGTAGACGAAAGCTGAAAATTTTACATTGCCAACGGAGTTATTGGATTATATAGATAATATCTACATATAGATTATGGATGACCAAAATCTTTTATAGATTATTGCGCCTAGATTATGTAATTCGTTTTGGATCGTAGTAACGTTATTTATATATAGTTTTTTATATATATATATATATATATATATATATATATATATATATACGACGGTTATTACATAATTATACATATACAAATTTCGAATGACAGATCAATTTCTGTGATGAATATTCGCTGTGTTTCGTTACGTCATACTATATATTTATCGAGAAAGCCTGAAGTGCGTCATTATCTCGAAGCTGAACTACCTGCGAGATATATACTATCTCGTTTAATGTCTCAATAGCTCATATACGAGGAAAATACTAAATGTTATACGTATCATAGATTTTATCAGAATTGTTAAATCATTCCCTAAATTTCTATTATGTTTTCTACAGAATAATTCTAATTGGAATTCGTTCCTAATTCCGTTCCATAATACGTAGTCATTTTTTCTAGAATTTTCATTTCGTTGAGAAAATCGATTGGAATCATAACTAAAGAACCAATACACGCGACACACGTTGCTGTCTCGTGTAATCGCGCGCGCATGTTTATTGGACTCGTCAACATAAAACATATATATTAGATCTCTGCGGTCCGAAGAGAAGAGTTCTTGCTGATGTTTACGATTGTTGTCTTCTCGCGCAACATATCTTCGTCATATTTCTCATCAAAAAGCATGACCATATCTTTCAAGCATGCTCGCAAGCATGAGTAATCTATTCACCACAATGACAAGCAATAAGCGGGCAAGGTCATTCCTCTGTTTAGTTGTAGCAAAATATCTTGAACGTTTAAACAAGCTGTTGAAAAGTAGAGGCAGTCGGACGAGAGGAAAAGAATTTTCGTACTTTTTATAAATCCGATCTTTCTCTCTCTCTCTCTCTCCCCCCTCTCTACATCATTCGATCCCGGAGGATCGGTCTCGAGTCTCAAATTATTTCTTTAATTTCGACCACTTTCGACGTAGAGTGTACATCACGTACATACGAGATCGACGACTGACGACACAGTGCGTGTGCAGCGTGTACACTACCGGGTCGAACATCGAACGTCGAACGTGGTCGAACGGAACGACCGAACGGCAAACGGAACCCAGAGGTCGGGTCGTCGTTGTGCCGCGTCATCTGTCGGCGGTGGCTCGTGTACGGTGGGAATCCGCTGATTGCCGACAAAAGGAAATTCAACGGTGGCCCGGTTGGAAGATCGAAAGGCCGCGTCCGCGAAGCGTTCCCTGGCCGTGGTGAAAAAGCAGCGCGATAAAAATACGAAACTGCGCCGTATCTGCCCGTGAGGATCTCGCTGCGCGGACACCTCCCGTGTAGAAATACGTGACGCGTCGTGTGTTCCGACCATTCCGACAGTGCGAATCGCGACAGCGCGCTTGACCAGCGCAGTCGGCCTACGTTTAGAAGGCAGCCATCTTGCAATCCCTAATCAAAGATCCACGGCAAGCGCGTATCGCTGTCTGGTTTTGCGGCCAGTTAATATCAACACACAGTTCATCAAATGGCTTTAAAGCGAATTAATAAGGTACGTGGAGGCTGATCGGCGTTCGTGCCGCGTGGCCACGCGTACGGCCGGGCGTTGTCGTCCTGTGTCGTGCTCCAAGCCCGGCCGTACGCCCCTTAACGATTTCTCCGCTCTCTCTCTCTCCCTCGTCGAGCTGGTGCGAAAGGCAGGGTGTTTGAGCGTTGGAAGAATCACGCCAGACCGTCTGGTCTCGTCGCATCTCGTCGCATCTCGTCGCATCCCGTCTCGTCTTGTCTCGTCTCGTCTCTTGTGTCGTCTCATTTCGTCTCGGCGGCAATCTCGCCGTCGTCGTCATCGTCGACAACGACGACCCGAGCACGATGATCGTGCTTCACCGCGCGGAGATGGCGGCCGTGCCGTGCCGTGCCGTGCCGTGCGCATCTAGGACCCGCGGGAATCCCTCGACGCCCCTACCCATCACCCAGGCTCGCCTCGGTGGCTCGTCACTCCTCGGTGACAGTGAGAACCCGGATGGATTTGCTCAATTTCGTGTGCTTCGTGTACCGCGAGGTTTCCGGAAGTAACACGCGATCCGCACCATATCCCCACGCCGGCTCGTACATTCTCTCGATTTCTCCTTCGGTGCTCTTCGTTGGTCTTTTGTGCCTTTTACACTGTTTTGCATCATGCGGATACCTCGTGGTGATTAGCGAGATACCTTTTTCAGTGGCCTGCTGTGAAAGCCTTTAGATACATAAAGTGAATTACTTGACATGGTGCAGCTCTATGTTCTATGAGTGCCAATAATATTTAATTTATCGTTTGTATAGCGATATTGTATAGAATGATGTTTGACATGGAGCAATTGGAGAGCTCGATTTATAGAAGCAAGGCTATAGAGTCCAGCGAAAAGCTACTTACACTTTTTATTTCATCTTGATCATTTATGATAGTGTGATGATATTAATAACAATAGGATCGTAGGATACTTGAACAATGTAATATACCGTAATTAGTCTGATCTTTGTTATAAAGATATTGTAAATAAGATTGCAGGATAACAAATAACTTTGTCTTGGGAATTCCCATTATTATACAACGATACCTTGTTCAATTACTGTATATGTACGTGAATTTAGGAGGCTCTATTGCCAAGAAGATGTATATATGTTTATAAATATCAAAGCTGATTATAGAATAATGGTATGATGTATAATTGGAATCGTTGCAGTAGAGTATACTGAAAAGCAACAAATAGGACGTATTTATTTTAAATATAAATCTTCATTCTAATTAAAATATTTGTAATTAGATGCCTTGTATTATATTATTTTTTATAAATCAGTAGATACTTCATGAAATTTTTGTAACGCTATTATCTGTTTGTAATTTCAGGAACTCCAGGACCTTGGCAGAGATCCGCCAGCACAATGCTCGGCTGGACCTGTAGGAGACGATTGTAAGTACTATATTTACAATAAATAAATATAATAATATAAAATAAATAATATATTAATGTACCAAAACTGTATTCGGATATATATTGTCAGTACTAAATCTAATGTACATAACATGAACTATGTAGATTTTTAACATAACACTAAGATTGATATATTGGCTTTTGTTGTATGACAAATTTTTCAAGCATGTTGATTAGTTGGCGAACAGAGATTTTCGGAAGACAAAAAAACAAATAGACAAATATCTTAATAATATATATCGGAATACAGTTCAAGTTATAGATTATAAATTTAAAACTAGAGCACTTTACCATATTAATTGGAATTTTTTATTTATATTATAGATTATTTCGATTTTTTTATTAGAAAGAAATAATTATTTATTATTAACGTGTTATAAAAATAAATATGTAAGCTATCTCATGATTTAATTATAACTTGCATGTAATTGTTTAACCTAATTTTTCCAGTATTCCACTGGCAGGCAACAATCATGGGACCAGTAAGTAATGCAATACTTTATGCAAATTTTTAATTTTAACATTTGCTTTTTGCAAATAAGAATTTATATAAATTACGTAGGATCACAAAAAAATTTTAGAGAGAACCAAACCAGAGATATTTCTTTCTAGATTTTGGATCGCTGAATCCGAATTCCTAAGCTGTTTTACTCTATTACATCCAATTTTTTAATCGAGAAAAATGATGGAAAATCTATGAAAATTTAAACATTTGAAGAAATAGCAAAAGTAAATATGACATTAAAATACGATTGCAGGACTGATTAAATATATTTTGGTAAGTTAAACAAAATGCAAAAAACTAAAAAAATTTGCTTTATTAATGTTAGGTATTATAACTTAACACGTCATAAAACAAACTCGTGTAAAATTTTCCAACAAATTTGCACACATTGTGCAACAAATAGGCGATCTGCATGAGTCATGAAAAGTTATTTCGGCTTCAGAAATGGATATTTTAATTACCCCTAGAACATAAAATAACAATTAAAATATTCATTTTTGAAATTGAAAAACTTTCCATGACTCACACATTACCTGACTGTTTATTGCATAATAATACTTTACATGGATTTGTTTTATGATATGTTAAGTTATAGTATCTAACATTAGTAAAACAAAATTTGTTTTTGTTCTTACACTTTGTTTAATTTATCAAAATATATTTAAATTAGTTCTTTTCATCACATTTTAATGTGATATTTATTTTTGCTCATTCAAATATTTTTTTAGATTTTTCATCATTTTTCTTGATTATCTAAAAACGACATGATGGAGCAAATGGTTTTTTGGACTAATTTGGATTCAATCCAAAATCTATAAGAAACATGTATTCTGTGATTTGTATTTCTCTCCAAAAAGTTGTTTGTGGTTTTCTAATTATTAACTGTATTTGTATAGTAAATGTGAGATCTTTTTATATTAAAATGTGATGAAAAGATTTAATTTTTGATAATTATACATTGGTTGTGTTCCGATATACATATACTGACAGTATAGCGGAATACGGTCGTTATATATTATACTTTATGTTTCTTATGCTATAATGATTTTTTAAATAGATTTAATAAATATATTGCTATCAAAATTAATATACTATAGTATAGAATTTTATTATAAATGATTATTTAATATGTTATGTTTTTAAATTTCTTATTGCAGCCTGACAGTCCGTATCAAGGAGGAGTATTTTTCCTAACAATACACTTTCCAACAGATTATCCTTTTAAACCTCCTAAGGTACATATTACAATTGAAATGTTTATTATATATTGGAAAAGTAAAGGATACAAATAAATGTTCGCCACAAATAATATTATTTATCATTTATTTCCAGGTGGCATTCACGACTAGAATTTATCATCCCAATATCAACAGTAATGGAAGTATTTGTTTGGATATTTTACGATCTCAATGGTCTCCCGCACTCACTATATCAAAAGGTACGCGTGTTTCATGTAATATGCATTTGGAAAATATATTATATTATGTTTTGTATCAATAACTTTCTAATATTATTAATCATTTTACAGTGTTATTGTCAATATGCTCCTTGCTGTGCGATCCAAATCCAGATGACCCACTGGTACCAGAGATAGCCAGGATATACAAAACCGACAGGGAGAAGTATAATGAATTGGCACGTGAATGGACGCGCAAGTATGCCATGTGATGCGCCAATCTCCATTGACTTCAACATCCAAACACCACCAAGAAACAGCCCCAGCCTATTGCCACTTACGCATCAGCACCGATTGAAATTAGCTATGGCTCGTATACTTTTAAACTTAAGCAGTATTCGGGCCCGAGGAATCCTCAGGCAAACGTGATCGATCTGAACTTCTCGCGGTTCGTCAAGTCCGCGAAAAACGTTGCCACAACGGCAATTGAGGCAATTTTGAAGGTGGTCATCCAGCATTATATATATTGAATCAGACAACACATGTCCGCTTTGTTTTTTCATAAATAAAAAAAATGGAAGTAACATATAGGAGAGTGAAAGTAGGATTTGTATTTAAATCTAATAGATTGGTTTCTAATTATTATTGTGCTTATGATAATTGTAACATTACGATACCTACTTTCTCAGTGAAACTAAAAAAAACTTTGAACTGACAGCACATCGATTGTTAGTCTTAACGCAAGTGAGCAATGTTTGCCCGTCCCTTGAAACGATGTGGTCACTCTTTTGTAAGACTGGGCTATATATATATATAAATATTACTGAAACTGTACGTGTATGCTTTGTTCAATTATTAAAATTCCTTATACCTGACAAATTCTACGAGTAACTCGAAATCTGTGCTTTTGGTTCCTGTGTGTGTGTGTAGTAATTTAATTATGCATATCGTTAATCGGCAAGTGGCAACCGTGCAACTTTAAGTAATCGGAAGTATCTGGAAACGCTGGATAAAAAGATTGTCTGATACCTGGAATATGGTCTGCAGTATCGCAGGCAGGTCTATGAGGTTCGTTATGTATTATTGAAAGTATAAGCGGATCGCTCGTATCATCCTTTTTTGGCTTTATGCCGATAGGAAGCGGTTGATGGGTCACTTGAACGATAAATGATGTAAGGGAGAACAATTCCGATTATTTAAATTTACATACGTATCGCGTTATGAATTAGGCGGCAAATACGTCGACGATGCGACGGGATCGCTACTGGATTGTTAAAATCTCAGCGACTCGTCTCGCATATGGTGCATAAATGCACGCTATTAAGTTTATGCGTCGCGTTTTGCGAATCAGGAATTCGCATTACTCGTCGTCCATCGCGACACTATTTTACTCGCATCAATACTTTTTACTGCTGTTTTGCGTGCAGATGTTTCTTTAAGCAGCGATTTTTTTTATTATTATTTAGTTTTCGCGACCAGATGTTTTTCCTTTCATCCACAATATAAACGCGTATAGTTGCGATGCGTAACTGTACTGTCCATTGCTGTGGACGAACGATAGACTTAAATGCAATCTGTTATTTAAACGTTACGATTACAATATTGTATTCCCGATATATTGTGGCTGTAAGGGTAAGGCGATGTGATTACATATTATTTCTTAAAAATCTAGCTATATACAAAATGAACAAAATGTGTCGTTAAATTGCGAAATGTCATTCAGCGCGATATAGTTGATTTAAGATTATATGAAACTACATAATTGCACTGTTTTGATGGTGCTAGCAGTGTGTTTTTGGCTTCTACTCATAGTTAAATAAAATCTGATACGTCATTTTAAAAAGAAAGATATGATTACTTAACTAGTGCGTAAGTAAAACGATTTTGTCTTGCGAACCACGTGTAAAGCGCGCGTTAGAGCGAAACGTCTCAATGTAATCGGTGCTTAAATACGGCAAGCTGATGGAGCGACTAAAGGAACCTAGAGAAGACAAATCGATTAGTATATAATGCGGCGGCCCGCTGTTTACGCCGACCTTGTCTCATACGACCGTGTATTTGCTGTAATTTAATTACGAGTAAACGCGTCGAATCTGATATTTAAAAGTTATAGCCCTCGAAAAGAAAATTGATCATCGTTCACTCTCTAGTAGAAGACGACTATTCATGTGTATAATTAATTATTACTACCGCAATAATGAACATTTTTAATAACTTATCTTGTGTACATTTTAGCATTAGCCCTTTATATAATAAAGTCCACATGATGATAAGGTAAAGCAACGAATTAGTCTTTTCTTTTCCCCGCGCGCGTGCGGACGATAAGCAGATAGCATTGTAATCACGGTCACGTTTCTCATTATGTAGTCATCAGATTTTTTTATCGTGTAACTCAAGATTCGTGCCAAGTTGCACAAATATTGTATTAATCGACGATCTCGCGTTCGAAAGTGGTCTTAGTCCCCACGTCTTTCCCAATTCTTCAATGTCAGCAATATGACCTATGTGAAAGTAACATGAAACTGACTTTGTGTGTGTGTGTGTGTGTGTGTGCGTGTGTGCGCGTGTGTGTGCGTGTGTGTGTGTGTGTGTGTGTGTGTGCTCTTGAAAATTTTACTACACGCGATCGTTGCGCTTTCGATAAAGAAACTTTTTCGCCGTTAAAAATGGAGGTTAAAACTTTAAAATTGTAATTCGAGATTGTTTTACATAGGAACAAAATATTATACATAAAAATAATCATTAACAATCTGTATAATTCAAAGAAATTATTGCTTGTTTTAGAATAATTTTATGCATACGGAAGGATTGTGCAAAATTTGTAGATCAAATTAAAAATTATGCATAAGTATCAATACGATTCGAATTAAAAATTACACATAGTATACAGATCGACAGCAATAGCTAAGATTAAAACTTGAAAATAGTAATTTGAGGTTCTTTTACATAATACTATGGAAAAAAAATTTAATCGCGTAATTAGCGATTTTTTAAACTCACAAATATCATTTATTCCGAAGTAATTTCATGCAGACGGAAAATCATGCAGAATTCATAACAGATCAAATTAAAACTTCCGCATAAATATCGTAGTACGGATTGACAGGAACAGAGATCGAATCTTGAATTGGAATTCAAGATTGTTTTATATAAGATACGTACAGGAAAGAAACGTTTGATTACGCAATTAACGATCTGTTAAACTTAAAAGTTACTGCTTGTTCCGGAGTAATTTGATGCAGATAGAAAGATTATATATATATATATAGATATACATACATACACAGAATTTATAGATCGAATTAGAAATACATACAGGCACTATTGATAAAACTGAAAGAATTGCGAAAAGAGAGTCGTATAATTATTGTGAATCTCATTATTAATTTATGAATATGGCGATGTGTCCTAACATTGAAGACCATTCTGCAATCCCGAATCCATGGCTTACCATCCAAGTAGTGAAAGTACCAGCTCCCTCCTTTGTTTCTCGATGGGGGGAGGGGGGAGGAGGATTGTTGATCCCCGAGTGTGCTCTCCACGCGAAACACACATCGGGGGCGACCCTGACTAGTCGCCGTCGCCGTCGCCATCGCCGCCGATTCGCAATCTGACTCGGCCGTTCACTCACCAGTGTTCTGCTCAGCGCGCTCAGTGCTCGGTGCGGTCGATCGAATCGCGTTGTGACCTGATAGTCGCACACGTGAAGAGTTCGCCGATGTGTCGGTAAGCGCCTGACCTACGAGGGACGTCGATGACTCTCCGTCTCTTTCTCGATTGTCTCTCCGCAAAACTGTCCTGATCCACGAAGTACGTAATCACAGCTTCTTAGAATCATTCGATAAAGAAAACAAAGTTCTTAATTGTCACGATAAATAAGCACGTTAATTATTGTCGACTGGTCCTATCGGGACGTGCATTATTTTTTTATAATAAATATTTATAAAAAAAGATAATTATACTATTATAATTGTTAATATTTATTCAGAAAGTATAAGACAATTTTATCTTTTTATCGCAGATGAAAAATTAAATTGAGTCTTTTTTTTTTTATATGTTACGATCAATAAGATGCGCGATCAGGCAAATTTCAATGTGCATCGAAAGAACCCGCGTCGTACGAATTTAAATTACATTCTGGAGCGAGGTTGATTAAATGAAGTATTGATAAATGAATCTCGCGCCAAAATTGGCAACGGGTGTACACCTCGCTCGATAGATTCAATGTCATCTTACTTTCGACGCGCCTTTACGACAGAAGGGACTTTGTTCTACAAATTAAGCGTAGAGATGGTAATCATATTCTGCCGTGGAATATAACTAACGTCTCTACAGGTTGTTAGTTTGACCTACTATTTAATGATACTGCATGTATATATTTCGAAATATGCCATCGTTTTTATATTTATATATTCAATCGTTATCGGATGATGAATTCAAGATTTGATGCATATATAATAAGAATAACATCTGTAATTAAAAATACAGAAATAATTTTTTTAATCTCTTAATTAAATCAGGAATTTTAATATATGTGCATATATGTACAAGTATATTTTTAAAATAATGTACGTACTTATTTGTACGTATTTATTTGTATTTACTTTTACTGTAATACTTTTGCTAGTTAAATTTCTTAATTCAAATGAACATTACGGGATCAATTCATTAAAATTATTTAAATAATTATATTACGTGGATCATTCACCTTTGTCCTGCACGATGCAAGTACACTACCCATTGCAGACAATTGATTATTTCTTGCTATTATTAACGGAAAGATAAATACGAGTAAAATTTTTATTGATCAAGACAATGCTATATTTGTGATAACATTGTCAATGATTATATAAAGAAACATTACAGAAATCTGCCTATTTTTTCCATAAAAACATTATATTAAAATTATATGCATTTAATTGTATATCATATACTTGTTTACCTGCACTGTTAGAATACGACTTCAATCAGGAGTTACGACAAATTTCATCCTCTGCTCAAAATAAATTAACATTTATAGAACGGGAAGTCATTATAAGTGTCACTATTTTGTATTTTGAAGCAAGTGAATACGATAAATTTTAATCTTATTCAAGGAATTATTATAAAATTTAAAATATATGCCTTTCCATCTTCTAATGATTAAAAATATAAAAGATGAACTAGCCACTCATTGTCTATTTGTGTAATTCTCATGGCTGTATTCATTTAATGTAAGTTATCGTTATTTTCATATTTGTTTTTATATCATTTTTATATGTCGACTTAATATATTTACTTAATAGTGTCATTATTATGTATTAATAAGTTTTATCAATAAAACTATTATCAAAAGTAATAGAAAGATAAGAAATTTCGGAATGATATATAAATCGTATACGACATGCTCCCAGATATTTCCTGTTCGTATATATATATATATATGTATATAATGATGAATATATAGTCTGTGCAATATACTTTTCACTGGGTGTAGATCTCAACGGATTTCAAAGTGCGCCTTCGACTTTCTCGCAGATTAGACGTAGAGACGCAGAGAGAGTGAATAGGAATCTCTTTCTCTCACACGGAGTCCAAATAAAAAGATAACTAGGACATCATTTATATCGAGGCACGTTTTTTCTCACCTAATACAGTGTGTCGTGTCGTTGTGTGCATTAATAAGATCTCACTTTTTATTTCCCTATTAATGACTAGAAATTCGTAAACTATCAACCCGAATATTCTTTTCGGTTCAACTGCGAGATTTCTAATCGGTCGATTTCGCATGGCGCGCTCGAAAGTTAAACGCTCCATGATTTTCCTCTTGCGCAGCCTTTCGTGCAATTTTTGTTCAGGCTTAACTACTATAATGATGATATACTGATTCTTTGTGACTGTAAATAAAATTCACTTCCAATTAGAACGGCATCACGTAAGAAAGTATTTTGCTGCTTACGACAGCTGTTTTCCGACTTCTTGTTTTCCGTAAGGGGCAATCTCCTTTCGCGAGAAAGTTACGTATGTCGACGTCAACTTACAAATCAAACTTGTATTTCTAGTTGGAGTTCTATAAAAAGTAAAATTGTCTTAATAAAGATTTTATTTTTATTTGTTTCTCTTCATTTGTAGTGATACGTAAGAACATATTATATTGATATGTAAGAAGTAATCAAAATAGGATATAATCTCATCATCGTGCGAATAAAAAGAATAAAGGTGAATGATATTGTGTAATATAATTCTGCGCTTTGATCAAATACTAAGAATAAACCATTCTAATTAACATTCTAATAGTAACATTGTATCATAATTTTTCACTCAACAAAATAAATGTAATATAACGCACGTTATATATACAGTTACATTGTTGAGTGGGAAATTGTAACATTGGTGTTATTGTTAATTGATATTAACTGGTTTCTGGGTTAGGAATTAAGTTAAAATGTCTCAAAAATTTATTTCCTCGATAATAGGAATAACTTAAAGACATTTGTGATTTTTCTATATATATATATAAAATAGCGTATTTAAAAAAAATTGTAATAACGTCTGGATTTAAAAAGTTATAACGAAGATTGTCATAAAATTCCTGCGAAAATAAATATTTTTATGTATTTTATGTATCTCCATATATTCTGAACACTAGCATGTTCAAAATCAAAACATAAGATGTCTTTAAGTTATTTGCATTATATTATCTGGAATCTCTTCAAGGTAAGCAGAGGTTCTGTATATGTACACGTAATTAACCCCGAGTTCCAATGTATTTAAAGTTCTATCATATTTCAAATGAAAATTATATGTTAGGGCAAATCTCGTTTAACAGTAATATTATCACGGATAACACGAGCGAACGGTTGTCTTCAATTTATCCTTTTTATCATTATATCTTTCAGGAAGCAGGTGTTGCATAAAAGGTCTACGCCGTTTGAATCATGAAACTACTTGCAGGCATAGAGGAGGTTAGCGACCACTGTGAAAAAGAGACCAATAATGGCCAACTGCACAACAATAATAGTCATGAAAAGCAATCTGCGACAGAATTGGCCCAAGAAACGACCAAGCCGCTCGTCAACAAGGTCAGTCAACGTTCGTATGTACACGACGTCTTCATTGTGTCGAATGAGATTCATTAAATTTAGGACTAAATGAAACTAATTAAGACTTAATGATAAATTTTAAGAATGCAAAATTAAAAATGAAAGCGGAATAAATGTGACGTGACAGTTCGTTGTGCTTCGTTGTGATTATAATAAATAACAGGCGCTATTATCAGTCTTATTACAGATAATAACAC